GGGAAAAAGGAACTGAGGTGATCGTCTTTATGGGACAAGTTTTCTTGGCCACTTACTGAGAGCTGGAGGGTGGTGAAGGTACTTGGGCAGAATGGTTTCTTTTCTGATTCATATTAATGAACAGCTCCCTGGGAAAAGTTGAGGAGCAGAGCTAAAACAGTGTAAACACAAGCAGTAATGCCCTGAAATTCAACATAGCCCTCTGCATTTTAAACCTCTTGGCCAAGGGGTTCTTCCAAAATGGTATAATTAGTAGCCAAGCAATGTTCTGAATAAAGTAGAGACAGTATGCTTGCACCTACAGCACCATGAGAATGTAAACCCTGAAGGTTAGGGAGGGTCTTTTTCGTATTTTGCATATCACAGGTACATAAAGAGTAAACGAGAGACTACAGTAAGACAGAATACTAATTAACCACATATTTTGAGACCACAAAATCTTGTAGCATACTTTTGCATTTAGAACCATAAACTTGGCTGTTAAGGGTCATCTCTGATCTAACTGAATTAGCCACATCTTCATGATCATGCAGTTGTTCTGAATATTGCTTGGTTGTCCCAAAAGCTAACATGGACAGCATAGGACATCTAAAGAGAAACTACACTCAATATTGCCTTTTCCTTACCCTTAGGCTTGTAATAAAATAAGAGTCTTAGATCTACAAAACTACTTTTTTACTTTTCTTCCCCTGGGAAAACAAAGGAGCACAGACCCAGATCTTTTCAGGGATGTTCAAGGTGCTAAGTGGCCACAATGGACATGAGGTAAAGGAAGTGAAGGGTGGCCCTGGTTCCATTTTACATCTCAGATAAGAAAGGACGAGTCTGCTGGGTTCTCCTTGTTAACAAGATAGCACACTGGCCACGAGCGTATCACATACACTGATCAGATGTTCAGAAACCCCCTACCTGGGCACTGCCACTCATTTTGTTCACTTTTAATCCTAACTTCCTTGAAGCTAAGTACAGGGAAAACTCAGTAAGCTCCTGAGGCTCCTCTGGCCCCGAGACACACCAAACACACACACAAACAACCTTTTCCTTTTGAAACGGTAACCAGGAACCCAATGAACAAAGGTTATATTATTTGAATAAAGCATAGACCAGTCTATATAGTAAATGACTATTAATACAAACAATTTAAGCAAGACCCTTACATGTTGGCTTCACTGGGATTCCAGATTAAGCACTAGAAAGATTTCAATAGCTGTAAACTCTAGGGGAAAAAATAGGATCTTTAACACATATATGAAAGTTGGTATTTTTTTCACACAGATATATTCATATACATTCATAGTTTAAATGCCTTTTGACTAGGATGTGTTTTTTTTTTTTTTTCTTTTATGGAACTCTATAAAACTGCAGGGCCCCACAAATTCAACCATACAGCTTTGTGAGCACAATTAACCACACATACAGAACTATTATTGCTACAGAATCCCACCTCTTTAACATTATTGTTGGTTTACTTATGGCTTTTGTTATTTGCAACAGGAATGTCCTACATACTGTGCTACTTTATAGGCTTTACTTTTTCAAGTTTTTTCCCCTCTGTGTCCTAAATGCTTTTCAGAAGCAGATTCTCCCAGGCGCTAACCACCTACTTGATTGAAGAGTAAAAATACTTAATATTCTATCAGAGTCTGTTCCTGGGTCCCCGGATATCTAATACCAGACTCATACCTAGTTTCTATGCGGAAGTTTTACACTTCCTATCATACTAATGTAATACATGTTAATAAATCCTACATTTGCTTTTCTTTCTTTTGGTTTTCTCAGACAGGTCTCATGTAGCCCAGGCTGACCTCCAACTCACTATGTAGCAGAGGATGACCTTGAACTCCTGATCTTCCTGCCTGCACGTCCCAAATGCTGGGAGTTTACAGGCATCCACCACCACACCCGGCAGGACTCTATTTCTAAAAATTATAAAAAAGGAACAAACAAATTAAAAAACAAAAAACAAAAAAAAACCACCCACAATTCTCCAGAAAATGGTTACTTGTTTCCTAGGCAGCTTTTAGAGGTAGGAATTCCATTTTACATTAAACTTTATTTTTCAGAACAAAGCAACTACTTTATTTCCATAAGGAAAGTAGAAAAAAGTGAAAGCTGTCAACAATTACCAAAGGAGAGGCCAACATACTTCTTGTCAACCTACATGGGCCCTACTGAGCTATCAGTTCTCATGAGAAAGACTGACTCGACACCCAAGTCAGATGTAGAATTGGGCAAACCCTAAAGTACAGGATACTCCAAACTGCTGACAAGGTTCTGCAATTAGCACACATGCTGCAAACAGGAAAGGAAATAGCCACTGAGTAAACATTCCAAAGCAATCAGCATAGCATCTCAGACATGCAAAACAGAAAATTACTTTCTGGACACAAAACAGGAAAAATGAACCTAAGACATACAATGCAAAATCAATACAAGAACAAACTAGCTTCAAACTAAGAAAGCAAGACAAGCATGAACCCAGACCTTGCTTTAAGGACTGAAGAGCTGCAAAGGCAACTATTTCTAGCTACCTTGTGAGAGGCTTAACACTCCCCCAAGCACATGTTTCTCAGTGTGAACCCACATTTCTGTTCAGACATTAGCTGTTTTGGCCTTTGTCTCCTATCCCCAGGGAGACTATCATAGATTCATACACAAAAAAAAGTAAAGGTCTAGGATTTTCCACACTTTTTACACTACTGGTTATTATCAATATTTCATCTTGAGGTTTAAAATTATACTAAATTCATGCACTAACCCCTAACATGGCACTACAATATGCTATCAAGCACTACTGCTTACAAAACTATACACATCTCAAAATGGAAGACATTGGTGATTTTGTTGTTCTTAAACAACTTGTAACACTTGTCCACAAGTATTAAAATATACATTATATATATATATATTTATATTGCACATACCCCGTTTTTGTTTAGTAACTTCAAAAGAAAAACTGCCAGCTTACATGGAGAAGGGAGGAGGCACAGCTATAAATGGAGGCACAACTCTAACATGGTAGTCTTTGCTGCTATTAAGAAGAAAACTCAAGTGAGAGTATAAATGGGAATGGGCCACACACCAGGCCGCTCGAGCTGGGATCCACCCATGCTGTGAACACCATTTGGTGTTAACAATGCAGGATGAGCGGGGTGGGGGGTGGGGTGGGGTGGGGGGGGTGCACGCCTTTAATCCCAGCACTTGGGAGGCAGAGACAGGTGGATTTCTGAGTTCGAGGCCAGCCTGGTCTACAGAGTGAGTTCCAGGACAGCCAGGGCTACACAGAGAAACCCCATCTCGAAAAACCAAAAACCAAAACAAAACAGAACAAAACAAAAAACAATGCAGGATGATAATGTGCACCCACCTGGAACAAACATCTGGAACAAAGGAGTGACATGTCCCTGGTAGTGACAGCCCCTGCCCAAGGGCAAGGTGCAGGACAGCTTGGCATCTAGAAGATGCTCTCAATTAGCAGGTGGCTTTGTCTTCTAAATAAAAATATTAGTGGCTAGGGCACTTGAAAAATGTGGGTTATATTTTTGTTTCATTTTGAGACAGGGTCTGCCATTCAGGGTAGCCTTGATCTTTATGGCCAATCCTCCTGCCAAAATGCTGTGGTTACAGGTGTGAGCAACCAAGCCCAGCAATTTAGGTTACCTTTAACTTGCTATTTCTCCAATGTTTTATCATTATTTGCTCTCATTAATAGGTTATTTATAATAAATATTTATGAAAAAGCTTTTAGCATAAATTCAAATTTGTTGCCCAATCTGACTAACCATGAATGTTCAACATTTCCTAATTTTGATCGTTTCTATGACTCAAATTCACAGCACCTGCAGCACTGAGAAACTGTTCCAGAATCAGCTCCAACAGCATCTGTTTCTAACTCATCTAACAAGCTTCAAACTCCCTCTCTACTGGCAGCCATTGCAAACAATGGAACCCTTTCATATACAAGCCTGGCATCCCATATAATAGACTTACAATGACTGGGAAGCAAAGAGATATTTCCACAAGAGTTCCACATAACAACATAGCTATTAAAGGAAGAAAAGAGCACGTATCACCTCTTTTTGGAACTAGTTTTCTTGAGTTATTTCCCCACCAAGGCCCTGAATTTCCTTTAAATCTATAGTGACTAGCAACTAGATCCACACTTCTTATTGGATCTGCTTTTCCTATTTGAAGCTTTATTCAGATCCCAAATTTCTTCTGAGATTATAGTGAACCAACCACAGGACTGGGAACATTGCTTCTGAGGCCCATTCTCTGGTAAGACAGCTCAATTCAAACTGGGAAAATTTACCTGAGTCCCAGAATTTCAGAATAACATTACATTATCACCTAGAAAAAAATCTGTCCAAGTACCCATCTTGGGTTGAAGGAAGTTATTTATACTTTTATAAAAAAAAAAAAATGCAACTACATAATGTAAAAATGTTAAAAAGTCAGACAATGCTACATTAGACAGCTTTGCTTCTTTTTCTTAGAAGAAAGGATTTATATGCCAAGCCTTAGTTTTCCCTTCATTCCTGAAGGCAAGTTACCCAACAGGGTCCACCACATCACCCTAACTGACAGACCACATATGCCGGTTCCCTTCCAGACACATGGAAAACCAGTCTCCCATGCTCCATGTGATTCCACAAAAGGAATATAAAAGAGGGTGTTACTGGGCTCCATTTTTTTCCTGCGGTTTTGAGTCTCATCATGATGTCCAAGCTGGCCCTGAACATCTAATCTTCCTGCCTCAGCCTCCCACGTGCTGGCAGTACAGGGTGAGCATCACCTCATCCTATGTTTTCTTCCCATTCTGAACTAGCCACAGGGCCAGCTGGTCCTTCCTGAGAAGGATTAAAAAAGCAAAGCAAAACAGTCAAAACCCAAACATTTAAGACTATCAAACTGTCCAAAGCCTTCTTATAAACAACAGGTTTCTTCTCCAAGAGAAAAATCTTGTTTAAAAATGTGGATTTATACACATAAAACTGTAATGGTTTCACTCCCTTATGAAACCAAACCTGGTTTCTGCTTTTATTGTATCTTGTTTTTGTCCAGGAAATCTGTCAAAGAGTGAGCCAGAACTTAGATAACATTTCTTTTACCTCGAATTATATTAAATATTTGGAATTTACCTCTGTGGTTTCAACTGTGCTTATAATAGTGTTAAAAATGGAAGACATTTTAAAAAAAACCTGAAGTCACCCACATTTGGTATTTGTTCAGTCTTCTTGTTTGGATCTTTGAAAAAGAGAACAACTCACACCACATAACCAAAGCGCTTGTTTCACATTCAGCATCTTCCTTCTGCTTGCAAACGGTGTCTTTCCAGTTAAAAAACTGCAGAGGACCCAAGTCAGTTGTGTATTTTCTTCCTGATGTCAACAGGGCAGCTGTATCCTCAGGGCTTTTCTGTGTTGAGTCTGACGTGAAATAAAAGAAAAGCAGTCTTTGCATCCTAAACCATGGAGGTAATCTGTCGAAAGACACTGCATCTCACTGGGGAAAGTAACGGGATGGAAGAACCAGGACATCTCACTGAGCAGTCCACACAGGAACTCCTGGAAACACAAATCAAATGGAAAACAGGAAGATTGGGACAGGCACTTCTATATAAACTTACTTGTAAAAACCAGTATTTAAAACATACACATACATGTGCACACAAATAGTTTAGCATATGTTCACTTATATCCTGTAGTACTAAGGCCGGGGCATAAGAATTACAGCATTGAAAGCCAGGATGACTTTACGTGGTGAGACTTTAACACAAACAAACAAATGACATCTTTTCTATCCCTCAAATAGAAACTGTGGGCTAGAGAGATGGCTCAGTAGTTAAGAACACTTATGCTGTCAGAGGACCCTAGTTCAGTTCCCAGCATTCACACACATGAGTTTCTAAAGTAAATGCTTACATATCTCTTATTTAAAAGTCCTGAAGATGGATAGAACGTTAACTATTATTTGTACACACACATGACAGATCATAACACAGAGCACACACACATGTAGGGAAAAAGTCATAAATACGAGGTAAACCAAAAAAACAATTCTGCCATAAGCCTATATAGTCCTAGAACTGGAGGAGAAGCCTCCTCCTCTATATATGTGTAGGAGTACATACAAACACACACATTAAGAAATGTGGTTTATAAACAACTCTCTGGACAACATATTGAGAACACATATTAAAGAACAAAAACAGACACACAAAAAAGGGTATGGGGTGGGGAGAACAGCCACAGAAATCAGTGTGAACACTAGTTATGTTGCCAAAAGTCCACACCCATCAGAGGCCTGGGAAATGATTGAGAATGACCCTAACACTGGCTTCATTTGGGGCTCTAATCTTTATAGTTTGATGGAGATACACCTCAGTGGCACTAGCATGTGCAAGGTCCTGGGTCTGGTCCCTAGCACCATGGGTATGGGTAGTTATATAATGCCTAGAAAAAGTAATATAATGGCCATGAGACTTTGTGCTGATAGGTACTTGTAACTTAGGAAACAAAGTACAGGTGGGTAAGGGAATGGTGGCACATGGCTTTTAATTCCAGCACTTGGGAGACAGGGGCAGAGGCAGATGGATCTCTGTGAGTTCAAGACCAGCCTGATCGATATAAAGTTGCAACCATAATTAAGGAGTAAAATCTCATCTCAATTATTATTATAACAACAACAAAAATCCCAAATAAACAGGTATAGATCATGACTACATATATGTAATCTTAGCAACTTGAGAGGTGTTAAGAGCTAGAGACCTTGGTCTCAGGACAGCTTGGGGTACAGAGTGAGACCATGTTTCAAAAAAAGATAATTAATTAAAATAAAATAAATGTATCTTAAAACTAAAACGAAAGCACATACAGGGCTGTTTATCTATCTGTCCAACATTTTATGAAACCCTGGATTTCACCCCTGCTACTACATTAAGGAAAGGAAAACAAATTAATAATTAAAATACAAATGTTTTTAGTAATCAAAACTGAGTATTCTCGAAAAACCAAACCAAAAAAAAAAAAAAAAAAACTGAGTATGTGGACATATGTTTATAATAGCAGTAATTAAAAGACTGAAGTAGAACTGGGAATTCAAGGCTATGCTGGCTGACACAAAGAGATTCCATCATAATACAACCAACCAACTAGCCAACAAAACCAGTAGGACCTGGAGAGATGCCTCAGTGGTTAAGAGTACTGGCTGCTACTCCAGGGGAGCCAGGTTCAGTTCTTGGCTCCCCACGTGACATCTCATAACCTCCTGTGGTTCCAGCACTCTCTTCTGACTTCCATGGGCACCAGACATACATGTGCTGGATATACATACAGGCAAAACACTCATATGCATAAAACATATAAATATTATATAAAACAAATAACTGAAAACTGGGGTTGATAATACTTAGAAAGCAAGGTCTTGGGGGTTTATTTTCTCGGATTTTTTTTTCTGAGGTGTTTGTTTTTTGAGGCGGTGTCTCACTGATAGTCCTCTCCAACTCTCTATATAGAGCAGAGATCTGCTGCCTGCCTCTCTGCATCCGAGGTCATGGTTTTGATCCTTACTATCTCAAAATAAAATTACAACTGGGGTGGGAGCTAAGAACATGGCTTATTGTCTTGGTGTTTCTACTGCTGTGAAGAAACCATGACCATGGCAACTCTTGTGTAAAAAAAAAAAAAAAAAAAAAAAATTGGCTGGGCAGTGGTGGTGCACGCCTTTAATCCCAGCACTTGGGAGGCAGAGACAGGCGGATTTCTGAGTTCGAGGCCAGCCTGGTCTACAGAGTGAGGACAGCCAGGGCTACACAGAGAAACCCTGTCTCGAAAAACCAAAACAACAACAACAACAAAAAGCAAAATAGTGGCCTGGAGAGATGGCTCAGCACTTAAGAGTACTGAATGATCTTCCAGAGGTCCTGAGTTCAATTCTCAGCAACCACAAGGTGACTCATAACCATATGTAATGGGATCTGATGCCCTCTTCTGGTGTGTCTGAAGACAGTGACAGTGTGCTCACAGAAAATAAATAAATAAATCTAAAAAAACAAAACAAACCCCCACCCCACCCCCCCAAAAAATAGAAGCCAGTAGTATGGTCCTCTGTGTGTGTGTGTGTACACATTGTGCAATAGATATTACCAATAACTAGGTCTTGTGGGTTTTATTTATTAACACAAATGTCTTGCTATATAGCCCAGACTCTGAATCCTCACTGCAGTTTCCCAAGTCCTAAGAGCTGGGAATAAAAGCAGTGCCATGGTATCTGGCTTGTACTCATTTTTACCTTCATCTTCTGTTGCTGTTAACAGTTTAGTGTTTTGCTTCTATGGAGCCCTTTTCAAGCCGCCACAACAGTACTTGGAATGACTATCCCATTACTACTTACTTGCAAAGTCCTGAGTTCGAATGTTGAGCTGAATATAAAAGCACCTAAGGTCAGGAAAATGTTCATCTTGTGTGATAAGGTTCCTAAAAATAAAAAGAACATAAAGGTAAGTGTCTTGGCTTCTTTTTTTATCACTGTGATAAGACACCATGTCCAAGGTAGTAATTCATTTTAAAAAAAAAATCACTTAGTTGGGCTTACAGTGCCGGAGGGTTAGAGTCCAAAGGTGGCACACAAAGGCATGGTGGCAGGAACAGGTAACCTCACATCTCTAACAGCAAGCAAGAGGCAGAAGGAAACCTATGGTGGCAGGAACAGGTTAGCTCACATCTCTAACAGCAAGCAGGAGGCAAAGGACGACCCGATAGGACTGGCTCTGCGTCTTTGATACAAACCTGACCCCAGTGATACAAACCTCTAACAAAGCCAGACTTCCTAATCCTTTCCAAAAAGTTCTACCTACTGGGGATCAAATATTCAAACATATGAGTTTATGGGGAACATTTTCATTCAAACTGCCAACGTAAGGATATACATATCCTTTACTGATACTACAGGTATTAAGTATACAAAGATATTCCAACCAAACTATTCTAAAAAAAAAATTCACTCTCATAAGTATTCTAAAGGAATATCATAATGTCACTTTCTGTATACTTGTAGTGGAATTAATGTTTAAAAATATCAACATTTTTGGTGAAGTAGTTCTGAAGCGTTTGTGTAACTCTCTGAATTTATGATACTGTAGAGTCTTTTTTGTTGTTGTTTTTTGTTTTGTTTGCTTGTTTGAGACAGGGTTTCTCTGTGTAGCCCTGGCTGTCCTGGAACTCACTCTGTAGACCAGGCTGGCCTCGAACTCAGAAATCCGCCTGCCTCTGCCTCCCAAGTGCTGGGATTAAAGGTGCGTGCCCCCACTGCCCAGCCTGTAGACTCTTTCTGGAGGGGAAAGAAACTGTGTAATTCTGCATGAAACCTCCAGAACTTTATAGTTGTCCTAATGTAAAGCAAGACTTTTGCTTTTAGTGCAAATACATTTTCCTCTCTAAGTTGAGGAAGGATGTTATATTCCTTTTCTCTGGGTCATACCTTTTTTTTTCTATGTGTGGATTAGATTAAAAAACAAAAATCTACTAAAGGGGAGGGTGGTTTTTTTTTTTTCACCCTCTGCTGTCAGCTCTGCTTCTTTAATCTAGGGCTAACAAAAAACATATAATCTATCACAAACACTCACATTATGATACTTCCATTTGAACTGGCTCTCACTAATATACCAGTTTATTTTTTGAAACAAGATTTTTGATAGATGTAAATTCTAGTCCTGAGCACCAACACACCCAGCAAATGTTTCACCAATCCAGAAACCAGAAGCACAGACCTTCCTAGAATTTAACTGAAGACCAATAAAAATAAGGGGACTCCCAATTACAAAGAGATGGCCCATAAAATTAAACAAGAATCAAATACAAATATTTTGATAGTGCTACACTGTCACCAGCGTACACCAACTACACAAATGAGATTCCAGCAGTATTTCCAAAACTATAGTTCTTAAAAAAAGAAAAGCAAAGAAAAGCATCATAAGCCGTTTCCCTTGATTCTGGGTAAGAAATCAATATCGGTGAATTCCACTGAGACCTGTTTGCAGAAATTAATGCGCCATTAGGACATTATCAGGACGCACAAGGACAAAGCTTGCTTACTATGGTCATAAAAGTTTGGCAGGTGCGAGTATGAGGTAAAAGCTGCAAGAACCTATCTGTAATACACATACTCAAATGAAAATACCAGAGGGAATCTCTTATAGCAAATCTCAAGGTCAGCGCGCCAGGGACACAAAATACCCAGTTGCACAGGCCTGTTAACCTTAACCGATGACGCCTTCGGTAAAGGGTCACTGTGGGTGTTACAAACAATACAGAGAGATTCTTAGAAAAATAAACTGGAGGTGCACACAGCGGCTTCCAGATACAGCCTGTGTATGTCCAACTCGGAGAACCACTGTAAAGCACACAGCGGCCAAAGCAAAGGGCACAAGGAAGGGCGTAGAGCGCCGGTAAGGGAAGGACGTGGCCACATACCCGGAGGCGGCGGGGCAGACGGGACGCGGCTGCGAATGGAAAGCCCTGTCAGGCCCAGGCCCCGCTGGCTCTCTCACTAGGCTCGCCGCTACCTCATCCCAGGTTGTGCCGCCCCACTATCTGCTCGTCACCCGGCAGACAGACGGCCTTCTCAGCTCACCTCACACAGTCCAGCACAAGTGCTCCGCTTCTCGCCGGAGGCCTGCCCCGGGCCCGCAGGCCAGCTGCCCGGGGCACGCCTCACTCCGCCATCTTCGTTCCTTCTCCTGTCCGCCAACCCAGGGGCGGAGGCGCAAAAGGCTCCGCCCCACCTCCGGGTGTTGATTGGACGGCATGTTGCTCGCGCGCTCTTTTTCCGTCGCCGATTGGCTAAAACGCACATCAATCAATCCCTCTGTGGTTCTTTTTTTTTTTTTTTTTTTTTTGGTTAGAGCCCAGTGCTCCAGTTGAAGTTAAGGGTTATTGTAATTCACTTGAGGAAAAACATTCCACACGGAGGCAGTCTCACTTTTTAGTAAGATAGTGCGGGAAGGCCAAATGACTATTTTAAATTATCAATACTGTTAACATATACTGTTACTAGTAATTCCTCTCTTGGCCCAAAGGATTTTTATCCCCGGACTAACACTACACCCAAAGGAACAATTTCATGATGTCAGGTCTTTTGACTTTGACCCATTTAGACTGAACGTTGCCTGCTGTTTAAAGGTCAATACAGTAGCAAGTTTTCCTCACCTGGACCTGCACGCTGAATGAGAAAATGTTAAATGGCATTTGTTGTTTCTTCCAGCTGTAGGATTTAGAGATCCTCTAGCGGTGTTTCCAGGAGAGTAAGTGAAGGCAATAGTGTGACTCTTCGAGGTGATGACAAACATTCTTCTGGGTAAGCAGTGCTTTCTAAACAATGGGGTTATTACTAGGCCATTTATAAAATCTGAATTCCTATGCTTCCCTCTGTGGTAAGGATGCTATGTCATACAAAAACAAAACACAGTTGTCTATTGAATCTACTGGATAGTAATATATTATTATTAGAATGTTAGAACCTATTTAATAATAAATTCACAAGCTACACTGATTTATTGTCTGCAACTCGCCAAGCAGCCTTGATTTTCCTTTATACCTGGGCTGGTGGCAGAGACTTTGTGTATCCCAGGCTTGCCTCAAATTTGCAATGTAGCAGAATTACTACACAGGATGTCCTGATTCTCAAGTGAGCAACAATGTCCTCCACCCAAACACATTACACTACACAGTATGTATATGTGTATATATATTGTGTATCTGTACATACTACAGAATGCCTGCAAAGGATTACACAAACCTCTGTGTTCAATGAGGTTTTACTACATCCAGACAGAGCTGATACAAATGGGAAAAGTCACCACAGTTAGATATTAATGAACTCATTTAGAAAGACACAGCATATTGAAGCCAGCTGAGGGGCCAGGTGAGCTTCAAAGGAGAAATATGGTCAGGTACAAGACTGAGTAGGGACAGACAGATAGATGCACAGACACCAGGAATGCAAGTGAGCAGTGTCAAGCAATGAGGCTGGTGCTAAGCTGAAGCACTGCCAAAGTAGCGGCAGAAGTAGCCTTATCCGTCCATAACTCACTTAACCAGAGGTTCAGGTGACAGTGCCCAGGGCTGTTACCATCGAATCACAGTGCTGTGTTCTTCCTATTTATTGGGGCATAGTAATTCTTCTGCCTGATGTGTGCGTGTGTAGTGAAAACTCAGACTTCATGCATATGAGACAAGCACTCATCAGAGCTATATCTGTTCAATTCATCCAGATCCAACATCCTCCTGACCTCCACCAGCACCGAACATGGACACAGTGCATATTGCATATACATACATGTAGGAAACACACATATATATGAAACAAATTAATCTTTAAAAAGATCAAATAAATAGGCCTTGCAATATGTGAAAGACTGATGCAACATATTCAGTTCTTCATCAGCTTCTCAGTGCTCTTCAAATTGCTTTCCACAGCATCTCAAACCACAATTCCTTATGAAATCCTTTGGGAAAATATTGCCAAGTAGAAAGTGGACTGTCAGCTGGGCAGTGGTGGTGCACGCCTTCAATCCCAGCACTTGGGGTGCAAAGGCAGGTGGATTTCTGAGTTCGAGGCCGGCCTGGTCTACGGAGTGAGTTCCAGGACAGCCAGGACTACACAGAGAAACCCTGTCTCGAAAAACCAAAAAGAAACTGAGCACCACAGCCACAAATGGTGGCACACACACACCTTCACTCCAGAGGCAGAGGCAGGTTCTGAGTTCATGGCTAGCTTGGTCTATATCAACACACACAATCAGACTCTGTCTCAAAAGGAAAAAGGAAGGAAAGGAGGGAGGGAGGGAGGCAGGGAGGGAGGGAGAGGGGTCAGTCACCAACCTAGCTGGTGGTAGAACATGCCTTTAATCCCAGCACTAGGGAATCTAATTTATTTATTTGTTTGTTTGTTTGTTTATTTTTCGAGACAGGGTTTCTCTGTATAGCCTTGGCTGTCCTGGAACTCACTCTGTAGACCAGGCTGGCCTCAAACTCAGAAATCCACCTCAAAAATCTAGCCTCAAACTTGGGGCATGCCTTGAATTCCTGAGCCTCCTGTCTCTGTCTTCTAAGTGATAGAATCGCCAACTAATTCCACCACAATGGACTTTAAACATTTTTTAGATGTGTTGTGAGATCTGTAGAGGTAGCCAATTGCTAAGATTTGTTGATCTATACTAGAATGTCTAAAATAATGTTGCACTGTTTCCTTTTTTAAAAATTGTATTTTATGTGTATATATAATGAAAATTTTGCCTGGTGCATGTATGTATGTGCACGTCTCATACCATCAGAGGCCTGAAGAGGGCACCAGATCTCCTGACACTGGAGTTAAGGAACAGTTCTAAAGCTGTTGTTTATGTGCTGAGAAGCCACCCCTGGTCCTCTGTCAGAGCAGCTCTTGCAGGTAGTCCAGGCTGGCCTCAAACTCAGCATATAGCAAAGCTTGACCTCCTGACCCTTGTGTCTCCACCTCTAATGGAGGTGTTTGGGTCCAGATTTGTAAGCATAGTACTTGGAAAGCTAAAGTGGAAGGATTGTTGCAATTTTGAGGCTGGCCTGATCTATATGGCAAATTCCAAGGCAGACAAGAATCTGTCTCAAAAAAAAAAAAAAAAAAAAAAAAAGTCATAAAAAGAAAAACGGAAAATACATTAGATCTTATTAGATCTTCCTTAGAATTCATATAAAGAGACCAGAGCTGAAACACTGTGCCTCTTGGCAAACTGAACCCCCAGACGAATGTCTGTACATCACAGGTCAGGCAGCAGTGACATATACCTGCAACTGATACTATAAGCATAAATCTGAGCAAGGGAGACGCTATAGTATTTCAAACTTAGGACACTTGAATTTCGTAGAATTGTTATAAAACACAAGATAAAAGTCAACCAAATTCTTTTGTTTTTACAACAATTAATTTATTGATGGATCGAGGAATACAATTTTAATGGGACAATAAGGCACAACTGTGGATAAAAACAGTTTGCTATACAGCCAAGGGGGGCATAATCTTAGAAACTTTAAATATTTAAATCAAGAAGCTTCTCAAGTACTTCTCAAACAGATCAGTATCAGACAATTATTCCCTTTATACAATTCTTATATCACATCATTTGATCACAAAGTCTGACAGATATTTCATTTCTTTTTTGACAGATATTTCATAAATAATTCCCCAGTTCATGTAGACCCTCGCTGTCTATCCTAGCCACGCCCCTGCTGCTCACCTTGACCATCCCTTTTGCAGTGTTTTTGTTTGGATTAACAGCAATTTATTTCCTAAAGAATTGCTTACACATCTTGGATAGCCTTCGAAAGCAACAAAGCAAGCAAGGAGCAATCAAGAGAAAGCCAGCCAAGAGCAGATGCACAGGGACACAGGACAGAAGCAGCCTGATTCAGTGAAATCTAAATCAAGCTGACATTGGCAAAGAAGTTGAGATGGGTCACTGCAAGACCTCTAATGTCACCTCATTTGGTGGCACCAGTCCCAGGCCGCATGCTTAAGGGATCTGTGTAGTACACACAAGGAGCTAGGAAGGTCATGTCATTAGGAAGCTCATGAGACAAGACACTCAATGCCTGGACCAGGATTATGAACTGACTACACATCTTCCAGCATTAAAATTTGCCAAGTATAAAATTCATTCAGAGTTTTGTGCAAAACTTTAAGACACTGAGGACTAATCTAATTCTTTAGGACTGAGATGAGTCAGGCACTTCTGTAACACTAGTCTTTCTGTTTGGAAATGTGAAGACTCTTCCAGTGTACAGAACACTGAGGCATAGCCCATGCTGCAGAGCAAATGTGGACAGCTCTCCAGGGTGCCTAGCCTTGTTCAGAAAACTACAAGAAGGCCCTCTACCATATTGTCAGAACAGCCACTTTGGTGGTGACAATGTCCCAAAGAGAAGCAAATTGGCAGGTATTAGACTGTTTTCTGAATGTCAACACTGTACCCAGAAAAGCCACATAAATATGTTTGAAAATAAAAAGTCAGAGGTAGAGAGACCTGGGAAGCCACCTAGGAGACATGGCTCTACAAGCCTCACCATGACCACCTTTTAAAAACATGTCTGTTCATAAGCCCTGCAACGACAGAGCAATACAGGGGACCAAGGGAGTCACATGCTTCCAAGAGCAGTACTGCTTGCTGAAAAGCTCCTGGATAGGCAATGTCTCAGAGACACATCAGAAGGTAGATATGAATCACCAGACCACTAACTATCCTGCCACATCAGAAACAGGCTTAACAGCAGAGCCCAGAGTCAAGTAGAATGCAGGGAATCTCAACGACAGGAGGACAGCTGAAAGACTGAATGGAGAGAAGGTTGGATGATAGAGAGGTAGGAAGTAACAGACACAAGGACAAAAGGACACAAGGATTAGGAACATGATGGATGCTTGATGAAGGGAAGGCAGCATGGTCCCCATCCAGTGGGAGCATTGATTGGATCTTGACATGAGTCCCTGTTTCATTTCATCAGACAGGATGGATGCATAGCACTCAGCAGCAAAACAGAGGAAGATGGTACTTACAAATAAAAACCTGGTGGGTGGATACTAATCAGAAATAGACAGAGGGTACCATTCTGTAACTCCCTGTTTATACATCAAAGGCAAGTTTGTATGGACGGGAGAGATTTCAGGTTGTCATGCAAGAGCTGTAGTATTCTGGGAAAAGAGGATGACAGGATAGGGTGGGGCTGGAGGACAGAAGGAGTTTCA